AAATTTGGGTTTAAAAAAAAAAAAAAAAAGGGGGGCGGGTCATTGTCCTTCTCAGCTATAAATTAATTCAGTAAAACACAAGACCAGCCCCAAAGTGAGCGGTCAGAGTTCTGAGATCAATGGCTGTCCACACAAAAATGAATAAAAACAAACCAAAAAGGTTCGCTAGTTGCTCATGAGTACGCCGAAGCGATGAGACTCACTGCCCTCACCTGTGATCCTAATGAGAGGAAGATCAGATGGGTTTTTTTTATATGCTTCAGTGCAATATGAACAATGAGCCTGTAGCCCTTTTTTTTCCTTCTTTTTTTATTTTTTTGCTCAACACTCCCTTCCCTCCAAAGGAAACATAAAGTGCTCCTAGTGCTTTGGAATCAAAGCGAGAATGGGGGCCAGAAGCTTAAAAACGTATGGTCTTTGGTGACTTATGGGAGAAGACAGAAGGGCAGTGCATGGAGCTTGGGTCCCTTGTTAGTTTCACCATAAGCCGAACAGTGATCCAGACAGAGCAACTTGGTTCCGCATTGCAGCTCAGGACAGGAGGCTGGTCTCATGTTGGTAGTTACAAGAAAGCAGCAGGGGGAGAGCCAGAATGATCCCCTGGAAGCACACTCAGGTTCAAGGACTAGAGCAGGGTAGTCACCGATCTGCCAGAACAGCTGGAGAGGGTACAAGAATGAGCACGGGCTGCCTACGTCTAGGGCCAGCGAGAGCAAAGATATACCAAGGATCTCAGAGTATCCCCAGAAGGATTTTCAAGCCAGCTTTTCTGTTTCTGGACGTGGTGGCTAACCAGACTAGGACTAGCTCAGTGTAGCACAGACACCGATCTGCTCCTCGCACACGCTCCAACGTACAGGGGAGGACTTTGCTCTCTAGACTCCAGGCCTGCCCAGCAAAGCTCTACAACGTTCTGAGAATTGAGCACGTGTTCTGGTCACGTACGCTCATTTTCTCCCCACCCTGCACAAACACACATGCAGCCACAAGCCTGGCTATCACAAAAGTGTAAAAGGCTAGAAGTCCCTTGGGCCTACTGAAAGTACCAGCAGCATCTCCTGGGGAAAGTGACCCCCACTGGGTCAGACAGACAGACTATCCTTTTCCTCTCTGTGTGGCCATCCCCAGTCCCTTTAGTGACATTCTGCTCTAACAAGAGGTTTGAATTCAATTAAAAAATTAAAAACAAATACAAGCAAAGAAGAAAAACAAAAGCCAAGCCACCCTAGAAGGTTTGTGCAGTTCAACAGCAGGAGCAGCTCCTGTTAAGAGGCCAAGCTTTCCCTGTAGCACAAGGTCTGCTGGCATACGAAGGGGAGAAGGTGCCCTGGACAAGTCTACAACAAACTGGAGACAGCAGCTGTCCTACTGACTGCAGCAACAGCACCCGTCCTGGACATATTCTTCTGAAGCTGCCGCTATGTAACCCAGAAGCGTATTTAAAAAAAAAAAAAAAAAAAAAAATCAATTCATTCATGCACCTGCTTTAAATAGGTCTGTGCATCCCAGCTGCCACTTCCTGCTTTCCTATTTCAACTAGGGAGCTTTTGGACATAGTTAAGAGCGACTGAGAGACTAAGCCTGTTCTGGAATGCAATCCAAGAGGGTAAAAACAACCCATTCTGTTAAAAGACTCCTCAGTCAGCTGCTATACTTGCCCTGCGGATGGGTCTATCTGCAGTCTGAATACTGAGGGCTTCAGCCCAGAGCACTCCGCACCCACTTTCTAGGTCACAATCAGTGGCAAGGAGGTTGGGTAGACCCTAAAGAGTAGAGACAGAGGAAACAGAGATTTGAAGAGGTCCCAGCTAAGTACCTGAATCAGAACACAACCCTTCCAGCCATCATGGGGGCCACCATTTCCATGTCAGAGCGCTGCTATGGAGAGGGGAGGAAGGGGAGAACACACAACAAAAACTATCCCATTTGCAAAAGTGACTTCCCTGGGTTTGTCTTGGCTTAGGTTAAAAAGGTTCAGTTAATTGCTAATCTGCCAAAAGCACATAAATACTGAGTGCTG